TATATATATATTTATATAGTGCTTCCGTGTATGTTTGCGTCCAGCGTAGATCTATTTCCAGACGGGTTATTGCTATAATCAAAACTACGCTGGACGGCTATGTTATATGAGGCAATTGATCTACCATGTTGCACGCCAATCACAATGTTCGGAGATCTCTCGCCAACTGCAGACACGAAATCGTTATATTAGGTGCGCAGGACGCCGCGTCGAAATTCCACGGAAGTGGAGAAAGCGGGTTTCCCGCTTCCCCGTCGTGAGCGTCGGCTAATTTCGAGCTATCGTGCAGAGACGGTAACAGGAACCGGATAGAACGCGTAAAACTCTAGCTCTGCCGTGCGCGTCGGCCAGCCGCATTTGTAACGCACAGGCGCTGTTAGCGCTGATACTTTATGCTGCCAGCTGTAGTTTACAACCTCGTCGGAGCGTACATAGTAAACCCAAACATTGCATATGCGGCAATACAAACTAGCGAAACTTTGTAGTAAAGCTGTGACGTTGGCACAACACATGCGCGACATCGAACATATGGATAATTGAGAATTTTTGTGAAGCATACGCATTATAACACATATGCGCATCATAGCACTATTAGTCATAATCTTGATAGCGTCTGCGTAATATTTATTATTGCCATTAAAATGTCTATATGGAATTAAGGTTTGAAAATTTACATTAGATATAGGATTGATTCGATTATTTTTAACTTTCTGTTATTCGTTAATGAACACGAGTAATAGCATTATTTACTTAAATATTTTATGAACACCTACATTGACTTTTAGTTTGCAGTGGCGTTATAAGCAAAAGTGTAATCCAACTATATAACACACCGAATGTATAACGCACAGAGCGTATATTATTAATTTTCACAACAATCTAATTTTTATCTACAGGCCGTCTCGAAGAGCATGGAGATCAAATGCAAGTGTCACGGCATGTCGGGCAGCTGTGAACTGAAGACGTGTTGGCGCGCTGTGCCCGTGCTGCACACGGTCGGCGAGCAGCTACGGGACCGCTACCAGTACGCGACGCGCGTGCAGTACAGCAACAAGCACCCGGGCAGGATGGTCACCATGTACTCGGACCGCGAGAAGCCGCCGCGCCGCAACCTCGTCTACTACGACGCCAGTCCGAACTACTGCGACGCCGACGAGCACCTGCACGTCGTCGGCACCGCCGAGCGCGTCTGCAACAAGTCGAGCACGGACATGGACTGGTGCGGCACGCTGTGCTGCGGCCGCGGCTACAACACGGTACTCGTCACGAAGACGGATCGATGCAACTGCCGCTTCCACTGGTGCTGCTACGTCGTCTGCGAAACGTGCACGCGCAAAGAATGGGTGACCGTCTGTAAATAGATGTGCACGGCAGAAGTTAGTTGTGGGTCTATAGAGCTGTAGCGTCGTGAGCGTAGCGGTGCTCTATCTTTCAAATCATTATCGTACTTGTACAGACTAAATATGATTTTCCGTCTTGATTTCGTTGCCTGTAGCATTAGCTGTGAAACAGCGTTACTGTTATCGGTCGTGTTCTTATATTAGTTCAAAAAAATATTTTTCATGCTGGTACAGAGAAGGTTGTATGGATCAGAGATGAGAGGGAACTAATGAGAATAAGACTGTGGGATGCGTCTATCATTAATCATACGCACAGCAGCTGTGTTTGACATCGTAAAATTAAACTGAGACTTACGTTCATAAAACATAATTTTATATGCTTGAAAGTCACCCCTATCGTTATAAAAGACTTATAAGGGTTGAATTAATAATTATATGTAAATATATAATTATATGTAATTATATGGGTTGAATTAAATGTATTGATTATATAAATTAAATTGTATTGAATTAAATGTATTAATATTATAGGTAAAAGACTTATAAGGGTTGAATTAATAATTATATGTAAATATATAATTATATGTAATTATATGGGTTGAATTAGATGTATTGGATGAGTCGTATAATAATCAGCCCATATAATTGAGTTTAAACGACTAGAGCATTGGAATAATATTACAGCTGGTTGCTGTGCTCGGCTTGTCGAGTGACGATGACAGTAGAATGTCGCAGAGACATAGATCTTAATCATAATACTCAGCATAAAATACTCAATATATGTATATATAGCCAATTCATATAAACATAATTCAGCTCGGTACTCAAACTGGCTGAACTGGATTTGAATGGCAACGAATGATCTTATTGAACTTGTTTTTGAACGAGATTAAAAAAAAATATTTTTTATGCTTTGCTTCTGTATACAAACCAATTACCAATAAGTTAAAAGTGTTCATTGCTATAGATACCGCGCACTGGTTGTGCTTTGTTTTACTAGACGGGGCTATAAGATGAGAAGAATTCGTGTCCGATAGGCTGTACGGTAAGACCCTTTATTTATGTTTATAGATGTATCCTTTGAGTCTCTGCCCTTATTTGTCCAAATAGCTTGTGTAAATATATATCTTAGCACTGAAGGACATCCATTGGCGAGAATATTCTCACTATATCCCAAGAAATTTGTTAATCGCAAGCATCATTGGCGGATATAGTGCAAGCAAACTGGAAATGCAACTATTTTTTATTAATCATTAAGCCAGTCACTGCTAACACGATATGTTAACTTAAGTATGTTTATCAGTTGTTTTGATATTTTATACTAAGGTAATAAATGGAGCTCTACCATCGGTGTATATAATTCAGGACTCAAGTAAAGACTAGAATTATAATAATAGGATAACTATAGTGCAGCTTACCAACATGCAGCTTATGATATAACCATTTTTTAAGTGGAAAAGACATTACGGGATGTGTACGATATATATTGTTACGGTTGTTTGATAATTTTCGCCCTTATTCGTTCCTATTGGAAATTCGTATATCTATGAGCGCATCCATTGTAGAAAAGTACAAAATAATTTCGTGTCAATAATACACTATTTATAATATACCTAATAATTATCAATTAGATACACATTTCAATTAATAAAAGAAGATTTATAAATAATAAGATGTGAATGTATCGATTTATTGTATGAAAAGCTGAATACGATACCAGATCTACGCATGAAATTGTAATATAAATCGTATGGTCATAATGGAGTTAAACGAGAGTATAACGGTTATTTTTAAATAAATTTTCAATACGTATTTACAGAATGACCAGAAATCGAAATTAAACGTCTTAATTTAGCATATTTAACGTATCGCGGTAGTTAGTGCTTATATGTCCCAAGGCCGGATGTAGGCATAAGCTAAACAAACAACAGCTAGATCCTTACAGTTAAGGAGCCTCTCAAAATCTCCTTTTTTAATTTGTTATATTTTTGTTATGTTTAAGTTCTAAAGAAGCAACCCTTCCGCACCCCGCACGGATTTGTAATGCATCTTAGCGGCATTCTTGCCAAGTTACAGAGCCTGATTCTCAGTTAGAAATTGCCATATAGGGCATTTACAGCTTCTCATAGCTTAGGGCTTCACCATGTCTAAATCCGGCCCGGATGTGTCATCTACACAGGATGGTTTGATTAATGTAAAATCTTCGAAACTAGCTTTGCTAAAACTGTGCCAGACGCTTTTTCTTATCTGTGTCATAGTGGTGCCCCCTGCCTGCGTCTACTCGCTGGCGATATAGTGGACTTAATTTATCTCCTTCAGAGACGTAGAATAAGCAAATTACATGGCTACCAGTTATAAGAAATAAATCACTTGTTTGATAAAATTAGGATAAAGAAACGGTTTTGTCCTATTATTTATTATATTTTTTACATTTATTAGGCGAACTGTTTCCTATCAAAATGTACAGGGGCAACAAAACGGGGTAATGCCTATTTGCATTACGTCTTTGAATTGGCATCTTTTGATACTAAACTGTTCTAGAGGGTGTACTATCTTCTTTAAATTTATAAACTAGACCAACTAATTTTTCGATTGATGACTAATGGGTATACGTGAACATAGAACTAACGGTGTGCTAGTGTGTTGGGACATTCAGAAAGATTTTACGTCTTGCAACTATTACCGTAAAGGGTTGAGAAACGTGAGATTAGTCAATACTTCGCACGAGTATATTTACAGTTTTGTTAGCCCACCGGTACATTAATTGAAACGTAATTGAGCCATACTTTTATATTTGTTGTCTAAAACATGCTAATATCTCGATAATACAGTACGAAATTTGCTCTGTGCAAAACGTTGATTTTTTGCTATAAGTGTCCATATTATTATGTCGTCAATACTTACAATAAATGACACCATGCACGTTGATCGGTGATCGACGATATTATTGCAAATGTAACTATATTCTATATCATTTTATTAGAAAAATCATTGCATTTATTCTGAAGGGGAACGACCCAGCGCAGCATCTGATATCTGATATATATATATATATAAATAAATATTATATCTATATATATATATATATATATATATATATATATATATATATATATATATATATATATATAGCTTAGTAGATCGATAAATATACAGACCCATGCACATGACTAGAAATAGAGCACGTACCGGTAGATCATGTGTGCGCAATTGTACGGTGGCGCCACACACCGACGAGTAGCGTCAGCATTGCATAGCTTCAATTATACTCAAAAATATTATATTGGATAGACAGCTAGCCGAATGGTAGATTATGGAAAATGTAAGGAATGTTTGTCCGTATAATGATGCACCGCCTTACGTAAGCACTGCATTATATAATAACGTTCGAAACGCAAAAAATCCATATCGTGAATTACGTTGTATCATTAAATTGCATTATATAAATGAAATGTGTTCCTACGGAAATCTTCTAATCATTCTCTGACGAGTTACTAATATTTTCACATAGGGGAGGAGAAACAGCTATGCTTGCCCCTACTCAGGTCATTCCCGCCACCTACAGTTATAGAGCTCATGGGTTATTGTAACAACCACACTATGAGTTAGGCCAGGAAGATATAGCGCGGCTAATTATCTTGGCCATAAACCCTGAGGGTACTAACCGTAGCAAATTCACGACGAGTTGCTGATTACTCACAGCGACTAAGCATGAAACTTTTGACTATAAACCCATTCTTTTCTAAGACCACGAAAGAACGAATTATAGTTCCGATTTGCAACTAAAATGGTCACAGTAATCTAATCAAATATACATAATTGCCTGTAAACCAATTTATATAACCCGGGTTCAATTCAGTGCATAACCTGATGTATTACTGTGTAACTAATATTGCAATCGCTCGCTATTATAATGAATCGTTCACATTCCAGTTGATCGTTCTCAAATAAAAATCCCCGCTTGTTATAGATCAGAGATAGATAGATTAGAATAATAATTTATAGCAAAATATCTACACGCCGAAATTTTTCCCACGTGCATCTTTTTAGATAGCACAAAATGTCATACTCTAATTATTTAAATTTTCGGGCAAAAAGGACATGATGCATGCACGCTGGATTCCTGAAAACAATGACAACATAAACTAACCGCATAAATTATATACATGGACCCTAATTTATTTGAATTGATCATTGTAATATATTGTGTTGCGTGGAATACTGATGGAATATTAAGCGTGTTAGATACAAAATACTTTGTGTACACGCATGCTAAAAACACTTGCGTTTAAAAACAAATTAATGTGAGAATCCCACAAAAAAAGAAATCATGTTGATTTGTGGAGTTTTGTTGTTGTTTATGGAGCTATCCAGCGAGTATATAGAGATCAGTGCAAAGACCGTATATAACTGCAAACAGTCGATGACAGTGTGTAGAGCTAATGATAAGATATAATCAGGGGTTAATAAAGACAAAGTTAATAATGACAAAATAAAGGTTTGTCATTATTAACCCCTGATATGTACATCGCGCCCTCGCTACTTCAATGTGGCGACACTGCTCTGCCAAAGGTCCCTAGCTATACCAATGTACATGGATAGGGCGCGGGCACGTCGGCGACCTGTCGCCAAAAGTAAATGACTTAGGGCCGACGTTAAGCATTTAATTTAGAGTGTGGTATGCCTAAAGAAGGTGCGCCCGCAAAAATTCACCCTCGCTACTTCAATGTGGTGGCACTCTGCCGAAGGTCTTTGGCTATATACCAATGTACAGCGATATGACGCGTATACGTCGGCGACCTGTCGGCCAACTTCAGGAACAATTACACGACAAGACCAATCTTAATTACTTCTAAAGCAATCTAGACGTCTACGAGGCATCTATCTTGAGTGCGAAATGCAATTTATAATCAAGGCCGTACGCAGGAAATTTTCTGTAGGGGGGCAAAGGTAGGCCTACTCCCCATGCCCCCTGTGCCCTAAAGTTTCGAAATTTCACATTTCTTTATTTAAAGTAATATTTCTTTGATGATTTAAGATAACCTTTTGTCACATTTCTATTTTATTTCCAAAAGTGTACAGTATTTGTCCCATTAAAAGGCATACTCTGAAAATCTCTAGGGGGGGCAACTGCCTCTGCTGCCCCCCTGCTGCGTACGGCCCTGTTTATAATGCACTCTAGTGCCAAATTTTACAGAATTTTTTTTTCAAAAGAAGGTTTTTTACCAGGCACTAAATAGTGCAAGGTGCGGAAGGTTACTGTTCAGAGCATATAAATCACCTGTGATTTATCACCTGTTTGATGCGATCGATATCACCTGTGAGATCACAGGTGATTTATATGCTCTGGAAATATATAGAGACAGTCACACACTATAGTCTACTGATATTATCAGGAGTAAGATAATATAGGAGTATATATAATATATAATCCTATATTATCTTACTCCTGATATTATTTATATGGGTAGCGCATGTTGTTCGCGTATGTTAGTTTTGTTTCCAATAGATGGCAATGCAATCGACGCGTGATATTTGACGGTAGAAGCCAAGTGAAAAAACGGGTTTCTGTTTATGTGCACTCGAATATACCAGACAATTTATTTTACAAATACATTTAGATTACAAATTGAAATTAGAGCAACATCGGTAATTCTATAGTCAATAAAGGGTAGTGGGTTACGGGACGCACATAACCTACCTTAGGCTTAGTTAAGGCCATAGAAACTTAATTCGCAGTGGCTGGAGGTACGGTAGCCGTCGGTCATTCAAGCCCCTTTTTTGCGTTAGGGTTAGGATTAGGTTTAGGATTAGGGTTAGGGTTAGGGTTAGGGTTCTAGCTCATCTAAACTCTCAAATCGTGAATTTATTTCCCAAGGCGTTATTTCGAAATCTAGCGCCACCGCCGCCATCTTTGTCTCGTTAAGTATGAAAGCGAATGGACTCCCGTACCCGTAGCCTCGAGACATTAAGATACGGCTACCGTACCTGTAGCCACTGCCAACTTAATTTGGTTGGCCTTCTATGCCCGCAGTGCCAGTGCCAGGTACGCGGTAGCCGTCGGTCGTTGAAGCCCCTTTTTGGCGTTAGGGTTAGGGTTAGGATTAGGGTTAGGTTTAGGGTTAGGGTTCTAGCTCATCTAAACTCTCAAATCGTGAATTTATTTCCCAAGGCGTTATTTCGAAATCTAGCGCCACCGCCGCCATCTTTGTCTCGTTAAGTATGAAAGCGAATGGACTCCCGTACCCGTAGCCTCGAGACATTAAGATACGGCTACCGTACCCGTAGCCACTGCCATCATTTTACCATCAACCGCGCGCATGGTCGGCAAATAGGCCACTTAAAAATGTAATTATTTATGTATTTCCCATTATGCTCGTATGTCTTTCATTCATTCACATACATGAAATGTTGTAATATTACTAAAATCGACCTTGATTTTAGTTCTGTCAACAGAACATGCTGAATAGTTTGTTTTAGTACAATAATATAGATGACAGGGGTACGTTAATTCCAGCCTGTTAGAATTTGCCGGGAAAAATAATGAATAATGAATAATAAAAAAAGCCTCATTATTCTCAAATTTTTAGTTGATGGTAAACTGATACAGAATTAGTTCCTATGGCCTTATATGGCTCTTTTATATTACAGACGTAGATTTTAGTTTGTATCATGTAGCGCAATCTTCGGTCAGGCAAAGTATGCATAGCGATCGGCAAACTTCGGTCAGCTTTAGCAGTGCGCTGCGAGCCCTCCGATTGGTCAGTGAAGGATACGCGCCACATCCACGTGCTATTTCTCAGGCCGATCGCTATGCACATTGTGAAAGCCAGCGTCACAGGTCACCAGAAATGGGACTCGAAATATCGCCGCTTACAAGTCGCTTCGAAATTTTGTAACAGGTTATATTAGTTTAATACAGAGTATTGTGATACATAGTAAGTCCCAGGATAGCAGAGAAAGGTTCGTGTTTAGATCGAATAAACCCAGTTTGGAGGTTCTATAGTCTCGAAAAACGCACCATAAAACCGCCCTGAGTGAATCACTCAGGGGCTCCTCCAAAGAAAAGAATAGACTCGCGTTGTAACCCTACTCTTGTGTTGGGTTACATTATTCTATCTATGACAGGGGTACCTTCCAACCTGTTGTTAGAATTTGCCAGGAAAAATAATTAATAATTAATAATGAAAAAAAGCCTCATCACTTTCAAATTTTTGGTTGACGGTAAACTGAAACCCTAACCTGGCCAAGCTCCTGGCAACCTGGCATGCCATTAATTAGTAGTACTAATAGTAATACTATTACAAGTATTAGTAATAATAATACTAATAGTATTACCTTCAAGCGATTTTTCCACGTACATACGTAGTACGAGAAGCGAGGAGAAGGAAACTTGTGAACATGACTTGTTGACCTTCCATGAACATGATTTCCTGCGGAGGTATCACGACTTTGTTGACAAAGTAAAGTGATGAATCATAATTTGTAGGAGCATTTTAATGCCATAGACAATGTTATGTTTCAGGGCTAGTAATGTCAATGCCTACAGCCACCCTGCTATTCGTAATGGCTGCTACTATCAGTAGCTCGTACAGTTTCTACCTGCATCACTGTGAGTGGGCAGCAGACGAGACAGCCCTGCATCAGCCTTTTGATTTGCTGCCGGTTGCCACGGAAGATTTTACCAAGGACATAAACATTACTGAAGATATCAGTAATATAGAAGTTTTGAATTTGGATGCATCTCTACATGTATGAAATTACAACATTTGCAATAACAATTCTCATTTGCTCGTTTGCTTGCTGTAAAAGACTGTGTTGCATCATAGAGTTTCTTGTTAGATATGTTGAGAATTGGTAATGTTTTTTCATCACTTATGCATGTGTACACCTAGCTATAGACCTACACATTTAATGCTTTTATGTTGTAGGACTACTATGCCTTTCCTTATTTCATAAGAATGAGAGTGAAATGTGAAAATGAGGTAAGTATCCAGTTTTATATTCAAAGAATTCTGGTGCTCATCTGTTAAATAAACATGAAATTTTGTAATCCTGTGAGTGATAAAACGTTTGATATACTGTAGATTACTTGTAATTCCATTAACTCCCAAGTTGGGTAAAAGTCCATCTTTGTAGTAAGTACTTGATTCTCTATGTGTATAGTTTGCTTACCGCAAAGCAAGGGCACTCCTGGCAACTGGAACCATTCCTAAAGTCACTGTTCAGTACCATGTTCATACAGCAGATGGCAGCTCTGATGGTGCACATGAAGACACTTATATAGCTGTGGCCATTGATGAAGGTATATAAGTAAACTTGAAACCTTATTGTACACATCTTGAACATGTTTTGATCACGATTAAAATACCAAATAATATCGTGGAGATGTGTTAAGAATAGCAGAAGAAGATGCCATGGCAGCAGGAAAACTGCATGCAGCGCCCCCTTCGTACAACTCAGGATACCACTGCCACAAGGCTGGTACTATTTTTCAAGTGGGTGTAGCTCCGGGGAAATCCAGCGAATGGAAATCCAACGGCCGCGAAGTCGCCACCAAACAAAACATTAGAAATTTCTATGTTTTGCATGTTTATTGGTGGACAAATTTATATTTTTTAAGCTGAATACGCAAATATTTATCAAAGACAATATTCGAGAATTAGGTATATTGGCAATCATCCGAAAAATTCATGATAAATATTAAATAATCACGTGAACTTAGTGTAGTAAACAGCGTAATGATTTGAAAGTAGTAAATGGGCGCACAATACGCGCACTATTTCGTATCACGATTTTATCAAATTTCTCATAAAATAATGGTCGGATTTTTAATATCTTTGCAACTTTTATTAGTACAAATCCTATTACATAGGATACGAGTAACCTGGCCACTGTAAAACTTGTGGTAAAAAAAGCGTTAGAAATTCTCACGGAAATCTACTTGTGGCAGTAGTGAATTGAGCCAGAGCGAAAGCACCATCTGTCATGGAGTTTGGGCAGCAGGAGGAGCAGCAGCTGCGGTACTTGAAAAACAGTACCAGTGGGAGGAATAGTGATACATTAACTTAAATTTTATTTATTTTGATGCAGACAGATAATACTACATCACACTAGTCAACTGCTATATTGCCATCATTTAGCTTGTTGAACTGAATCTCAGGAGAAGCTAGAAGTCTCTGTTTGAGAGATTGTCACAGAACCAGAGTGTACAAGTAGTCACCTGGCTGCCCCTATCCAATGATGAGCATCATTCAGGTTTTAAGGCTAGGTTCTCCTTTCTCTCTCTCTCTCTCTGAGAAGGCCTAATAGCATTTGGGACTTGCCAAGTCTAATTTCTAGAAAGCAGGAATGAAAAATGCCACTAAGGTGCTGAGAACACGAGGCTGCAGACATGCAGAGCTCCGTAGCGAGATCTGGTAGCGAGCTCTGGTAGAGAAATCTGCCAGCTTGAAATCAGCTGACATGTGCAACCAGGACCTTATATCAGCATATACAGTTCAATGAATCCACACCACACATTTTCCCCACACTTTTTGTGTCTGTTGGAATCTAAGTGCTTGATCTACACCAAGGTTAAAATTGCCCAAGTGTGTTGATGAATTGAGGTTCCTTTGAAAGCAACCTGCAGTGCTAGATGTGACAGGAACAGCTTCAGCATTGGTGATATCTCTATTTCCTGAGCAGCAACCAAAATAACATTACCTATATGCAGTTGTATGCTGGCTGCATAGGCTGTTGGGGATGCACTGCAAAATACATGGAAGTTGTTTGTGTTCTTCCCCTGTTACCGAAGCAGATGCTTGTGGGGTTTCTAACTTCTGTGCTCTTTGTATGACAACGTAGCCTAATTCCATTCAGTAGTTATTCCTGCCAGTCCAGATCTAACTTCCACTACTCTTGAAACACAGCCAACACAGCTGTATAGACCAAGGTAAATAAACACAAATGGTCATAGAGGGAGCAGATTACACAGAGTAGCCCCTTCTTTTGAGCAGATTTCTCCCCTCTCTCCACCTCTGTGAGTGCTCAGACACTGTTACAGAAGAAACCTCTGCCTTGCCAATATCAGTAACAATATTTTCAATAAACTTTCCCTATGAGAGCTAGTTTAAGTGTATTCACAGCACATTTTGTAGCAAGGATGGTGCCTAGCAACTTGCCGCTCATCGCTCCACACGATGTTGAAACAAATTCTGTCACTCTTGTACTTTTCCTTGGAGGAATGGTTCCTTGATGGCTTCTGACGATGTGCTTCAATCATTGTGCATTCGAAAAACTCATTAAAACTGCCAAAAGATCACAAAACAGATTTCATCCTTGGAATAGGCAATCATTTATAGACCCGCATTTTTTCCAGATTTGGGTCATTTTCTAACACAAACCTAATGTTTTGTCTTTTCTTTCTCCATGATGAGGCGATAATAGTAGTCTCTGCTGGCTCTGACTTTCTTGGCTTCCTGTTCTCTATAATCTGCCTCGTACTCTTCCTTGTAAGCTGAGCGTGTTGTAATACAGTTTCGCTTTGTTTCTTCCGTGGGTTGGAGGCTGAAGAACATCTTTAATTTCACAAGTTCAACAAGTATTATTAGCAAGAAATTTATAGAGAAAGGATTGCTCACATTGGATTAGGGTGTGAAACAATTATTTTTACTTTGTATATGAATCTAAGGTATATATTGTGACTCTTAATAAAACCTATAATGACCTATAAAAAGCTAAAACTACTTGTCACAGATTTTCCTTAAAATAACATATGAAATGTCCTTGAAAGGTCATTGAAAAAGTAATTCACACTTGTTGAAACCATGTAGTCGTAATGTCTAATTGCAATCACGTTTCTTTTTTTCTCTGATTAGAATTGGGAAACTGCGAATATTCACTGTGTAAACCTTCCTGGCTCGTACCTTGGGGCCGAGCCGATGGGTCACAAGTCATGCAAATACAGATTTCAACAGAGGGACTTGGCATGCTATGGCAAATTAAAAGGTGAGTAATCAAGCATTTTCAGTAAGTGGATCTATTTATATCTGTTGATAGATAAAATAAACACGTAGGAAGTTATTACGTGTTTACGCAATTACATTTTATGATAATTGGGCTTCCAGCAAGATGAGATTATCTTGTGTCTACTTGCCAGCAAGACCCTGCAGGTTGGAAATCATGACACAAAGACAGAGCTAACTGCCCTTGCTTCCTTTGAGGTCGGACTGCTGGGGAATCTTTCCAATGTGGCAGCAGAGCTTGATAGTGGTTGGATGCATGAGACACAGAATATGCAAGGCCAATCACTTGTCCTGGTCCTTGGTGGATTCCTTACCAGCAACTTAATTATATATAGCCACGATGACTTTCTCACAAGCGATATCATAGAGGTAGCGCCACTGACTTGAGATTTCCAAGATTTGCATGCATATACTGAAAAAACATTTTGGGGAAATAATTTAGTTAAAGTAGATGGCTTAAAGTTGACATTAAGTTAATAACACATTAAATATTAAATAAATTTTCATGTTTTCTAAACACGTTCTATATAATGTCAAAACTACATAACTACTAAAAATGTGCACCTTGATTAAAAATAACAATTTCATAATCTATATACTAAAAGTCATCGGCATGATCCGCATTATCGATGTCTATAATAATTTGATAATGGTGTCTGTTAAAACCTTGGACTTTCTTTAAGAGCACACACTTATCTTTGTTGCAACACAGATTGATGTTGTATGGTATTGTTTGTTTATATGTGGTAATGCCCAGCTAGAACTGCTGATTACATCCATAGTCATTCCTAGTAATTAATTATGTATTATGGGTTGTGAGGAACCTGGGTACAAATAATATTAGCTATTATCAACAGATACAACTGCATATTTTGTTTTCATCTTTCTATGACATGTATGAACACTTAATTGGAGTTTAACCATTTTTAGTCGTGTATTTTTGATACAGTATATTATGTCGTGTTCTATGTAGTGGCAGTAAGTGATGCTCAACTGCAGAACTATTTGGGTGTCAGGATAAAGGATTGTTCGGTAAATTGTGGTGTGTTTTTTCCGTCAGCTAACAATTTTAGATGGCGTTGCAATGGCGTCTGTCTGTGATGACACAATGGGAATTCCAGCATCTCGAGTGACAGGTGCTGCATCTTTATACAACAAGCTTATCCTCAAAACGAATGTAAGCTGTTGTTTACATACAATTCGATTTCATAATTCAGTGCAGAGATTTCTGATGTTCAGTCGTCAGAAAGCTACATACCTTTATGGGATGAGATACTAATAACTCAAATACATGAGTCTGTGCCATACACACGCAGAATGCTGCAACTGCAACATTCCTTATTCCACAGCCATGCTGTTTTACACATTGATTAAAACGTGCCTTCACCTTGCAGGCTGGTCTATTTGAGCTGAAGGCAGATTTCCAAAGGGATGGCTCAAAGTTCATCACGCAATTCCCCGCTGCAAATATCTTGTCTAAATGCATTGCTGAGCTGGTCATCTCGCCACAATCTCTCAGCGTCGACAAAATCGTCCTGGCAATTGGGGCACCACCTCATAGTGGGGAGGTATACTTTGTAAAGGCAAACAATGCAACAGGTGAGTGAATTATTAGAAGTCGAAATTTAAACAGCCAAGAGATTATAGGGTAAACAACCTTTCCTATATTTTTAACTGGTGTTCACGTTCAGTGTGAAACAGCCATAAATCATAGGCTACAATTAACCACTTGACCCCATGTTTCAACCATGTTTTGTATTGTGCAAGGCAACACAAACATTGGAACTGCATAAAATGCAGGCTCTGTAATGCCGCACATATTACGATATTAATCTACTTTGCTACAGTTCTGTTACAATGTGAAATGGCGTGCTCAATACATCCAACACAATAGGTCAACATTATGACTTTCAACCACTGGAAGATAGTCGCGCAAGAAAAGTATGTGATGCTGTCAGCGGCATGTATGACACATGCAGTGTCGTGTCTGGCAGCGTTAGTGCAGTGAAACCATCAGCCATCGTCCTGCTGGTCAAAGTCAATGACACATACAAGACTGTGGAGTTCTTTAGTAAGTAGAAAAAGGAATATTAATTAACCGTTTTTTAAAAAGTTTTATGTTGAACAGTTATAAGTGTGTGTTTCATATTCTCAACGTCGATAGTTGATTTTTTTATCATCTACTAGATATTCTGTGTCACACATCTACGAGAACTCAAGATTAGACAGTAAGACAAAGCTATAAAAACATTTTCGAATTAAAATGTGATATGCTTTATATTAATAAGGAACATATTGTTTAATATCGATCGATTCCAAAACAAAGCTGGTGTAGTGTGTTTTATTATGCACACAGCCTACCTTATAAGCTATGCCACCTCCACATTTCTCCTTTGCCACATTTCCTGTAGAAGTGGCAATTAATGCATAAATTCTAGAGTAGAATAGTTGGGTAAAATCTCTTAACTTTATTTATTATGCTATAACTTGTATTTTTATGCAATAACTTAACACTCGTCGTTTCTTGTGGCCAACAGCATACAGCACATCTTCTGAATATACACCCTGGGCATGATGTCAGATAACTTTTTTATGTGCATATGCATGAAGTTATTGCACAAAAATGCTAAGGTACCACATTTTTACCCCACTATTTTACTCCAACATTAAATCCCTGCCACTTATGCAGGAAGTAAGGCCCATCAGTAGTTGACATGTGGTGTAGTTTACTAGATGGGTTGTTTGCATTTTGTAACGCACCACCCGCTGCCAAAGCTGTATAGTGGTTATACAGGTAGTCAATCAAATTCGGTGTTATATGATGCCATGTGATAAGAAAAGTGTGTGTATACCTTTTAGATGACTCTTGGGATGTTCAAGCTGAGTTTTCATCCTTCCTGCCAGCCTCTAAAGCTTTCCAAATGCTAGATGCCAACACGGAATACACAACTGATCCTCTTGTCCTTACTCATATATCATTTTTGCGTCAGATCGGCTCCGACCTTTTCCTATGGGGCAATGTAATACTGCACAGGTACTGCTGAGTATACTTGTATTCAACACAGGCTAGTGCAGCACTGCTACTCTTGTGTTTCAGTACTGGCTCTCCGCTTTACTTACTTTGTTGAAACGAGTATGAAATGTTCTTTCTACTGATGTGTAAATTGGCAGGTAACCCTTTAATCAATAGGAGAAGTGCTAAATTTTAATTTGGTAATTCTTAGAATGAGCTAACAAACCCCCACTTTCATGAAGTTGTTGAATAGGGTGTTGTGCATAGCAGTAAATCTAGGGTAAGATTTAAATTTGGAGTTCGCTTTAATATATGAAGTTAAGTCAATTTTTAAGTAGATGTTACGGTTATGGTAAGTTACGTTCCCTTACGTTCACTGAACATTGTCCAATAACAGTTTTCATAGCATTAGTCTTTGACACTATGCTATTTATGTTCTCTTTTTAAAACTCATTTCTCTTTAATGCACTTTTGTTCTCTACTTTCTTACTTTCTTCTGAAACATAAACATATCACATTTTGGTCGCAAAAGTAACCAAGGCCATGCCTGGTTCCCCAACTAGGGTATATATAGTATATATATAGTGTATATATAGTATATAGTGTATAGTGTATCAAGAGTACATAATAGATCGAGAATCTCTATTATGTACTCTTGATATATATTAGTGATATACTCGATCATTGGTTGAACAGTGGTTTGAACCAAGCGCTTGGTTATCAAAATCCATAATAAATTTCATCGGGAAAAAAAAATTGAAATAAATGTAAAACTTGAACAAGAAAACTTGGAAAAGTGATGAAAATCAGAGATATCATTGCTATTTTAGTTCGGGAATCACCCAACATTTGCCGTAGTTACTTCCTGTTAAGGGGCTAAAGCCTAGGACACACTAGGGATTTTATACGCTGGCTAAACAAGCACATACATGCACACACGTACATACACACTTGGGTCCAACCAATGATCGATTACGAAATTACAACTGATTGACAACACTAATATATATACATATATATATATATATGTATAATATTTACCTTCATCCATAGAAAAATGTACTAGAAAATATCAATTAATTTGTCATGTTGTTACTGCTAATTGACTAAAATGTTTTTTAAAACTATTGTTTAGCCCTGATGGAGGCAAGACTATTTCAATGCTGGATGGTTACCATGGAAATTCCAACATTGTCATTCTGACATCTGCTGGAGCCGGACTCTTTGCGATTCTAACTGAGAACTTGGAGGCATGTTGATTTAAATGAAATACTAAAACAATATCTGCTCATTGAGCCAGAGAGTGAAGTAACAGAATATCTTATTAACTTCATAAAAAGAAGAAGTTTACTTCCACACTGTTGGCAAATGGTATAAATGGTAATAACTCAACCCTTGTGGTGTTTGGAAGTACATAACTTTACCATCTAATTAATATTAGTTTTTTATATACATTATCTTGCAATTAAATTACTAAAGACTCAGTCTCAGTTTACTTACTGTATCGCCTAACCTTATCTTCCCCGTTCTAACCAGGTTAGATGGTGCCAATTCATTAACATATTATAAACTGCATGTTTCATTTAATAGCTTCTCATAAAAAACTCTGTGGACTCTTCTAGATTTGGCTAGGTTATATTAGTGGTAACAGCGTTGAACAGTTGAGACCATCAGCTGCGTGGGATATTGTTCACTCCCTGCACGAGGAGAGCTATATACACACCCGTCAGCATGCCAACCTGTCTACTATTACAGTCATGTATACTGGCAGGGATGAACTCATCGAGGTACGCTCTAACTCACTATTAATAAAGGAATGCATTCACAGATATACTCATGATCATAATGACAATTTTGGCTGTACCCAGAGGATATGTGGTACTAGTAGATCGTGAAACATGGTAACGTGCACTCACCCATGAGCTCTCAGGATGGCACCTTCTGTTGAAACTGTAGATTCATGCTTTTCATTCATTTAATGGAACTGCATTGGCAACTGCTGCAGCGTTACATTGGTAGTGAGAATATGCTGCAATAATGCTGTAGTCATATCTGACTTGTTCCGTGGCTAAACTCTTGTAACAACAATCTAAACAGAAATGCAAGTGAAGAATAAATCCGTTATCAGCCGTCATTTCCTTTCTTTGCCCTTTCCTCCCTCGCTTTCCAACTCTCTCCCTCTCTCGAGTCCTCTCTCTCTCTCTCTCTCTTTCTCTCCTACTCACTCTCCCTCTCTTTCTCTTTCTCTCTCTCTCTCTCTCTTTCTCTCTCTCTCTCTCTTTCTCTTTCATTCCTTCTCACGCTTGCTCTCCACCCTGTCTCTCTGCCTGGCTTCATCTTTCCTTTTCTCTTTATCACTCTCACTATCTGACTTTCTCATTGAGGAAATACTAACTTTATTGTTTAATTACAGAGGAGTAAGGTTCTTTACCTTTTTTCAAGTTACGTTTCAATAAGAATATAGTTAAATTGCCGAGACCATGTGCATTTATGCAGCAATAAATGTAATAGTCAATCCACCTGCATGTGAGTATAGCAACGCTGGATGACATAACAGCCGACATATAATGAGCAAACTCATTTCACTATCTTGCATTACTCAACTCTCAGAATTGAATCATTTGCTCTATTCATCGTGAGATAATTAGCACATTGATAGGTGGGTGCAACACTGTTAGAAAAATGTTAGCATTGTGAGACTTTAATGACGTTCCAGACCGTTTAGCTCAAATTTCTCCTTTTTGCTAAATCCTGCATCACAGTATAAAAAGGAATTTTGCACAGGGGAGAGATAGTGATCTGCTAGGGGACGGCTCTGATTGGCTAATTTTGTCTCTTATTTATTTTATTATTTATTATTTTTGGCTAATTTTGTTTTATTTTAGAATTAGGGATAGGGTTAGGATTATGATTAGGGTTAGGGTTAGGGTTAGGGTTAACTGATTTCTATATCCACAACTTATTTCTATATTTACTATCTCTCCCCTGAGACCTACTATATAAAAAGTCGAGTTCGTGTAAGAAACTTCATGGATTAGGCAGAACAGAAGATGACCCTTGTGGTTGTGGTTGTAATAAAAAATTCTACAATATTATCACATTTGAGTGGCCATGTATCGTATGGAGGGACAATTCTTGCCAAGCAAGCTATCACCATGTGCCAAAACCTCTAGTGTTTTTTGAATTTTTGAAATTTCTATACTTAATGTCAACCAGCATGCGTAGCATTTTCAAATGTAATAAAGGTGAATAGTGATAGTAGGAAGCTATCATTCAGCCCAATCTAATATATTTCTGTGGCGGCATTATTACTGTCTTCTCTTTAGGTGATTGCATGCCATGATGATAACGGAGACTTCAAGCTGACACGGCATAACATTCCCGTAGCTGACATCACTAGACATAGAGTCTTCCAGAGCAGGATGCTTGCCACTGTAAACCGACAAGAGCTGAGGTAATGTAAATAATGATCGGAAAGTGTAAATGGCTGATTCATACAACTTTGGTCCTAAGTTTGGTGTTGTAGGTTTAGTTAGAGTTTTGTCTTCACCCTTTTTTGATGGTTTGCAACAATTGGTACAGAGTTACACGCTTGCTCACATGTATTGCAGCAATAGTGATGCAGCTGAGGTCACAGTTCAGAGATCGTGTGCATTTACATCGCTCACGTATGAAATGGAGAGGCCACAATATTTCACCAGGACTCAGGTATGACTAGAGACAGTAGACAGTTTATATTTACTCAGTGAGACCTGACATGAAGGTCATATGATAGACTGTTTTTGATTACATCAAGTACAATGTTGCACGTGCTGTGTAAAGAATTTAGATGCGTGATTGTTTTTCTGTCAAGCAGAAGTACCAGCTAGCGCCTCCTAGGCTAAGCATGAATGATAGTCTTCACCGCAACGGCAGTCTTCTGCTCTTCCAAGTAGTGGCTAACCTGTTACTGTCTGAAATGTACAATCAGCCTCAGCGGTCACATTACGGATATCAGACAATCTACCCAAGCTTTGCTGATGAATGGAGGGATGTAAACCATGGCATACAGGCATGTATTAAACTGTCTTGCTATTTAACCATTTCGATAAAGGATTTTGGTTTGTATATGTTCTGTAAATGTGAGCATCGTTTCAAAGGCATGTTACCTAACTGGATGCGTGAAAATATGTAGTCCATCACGTAGACTGGTAGAGTTCAATTGTCAATCAAACAGTATATTACAACTAGCATGCAGAAATGAAGTGAGTACAAGGATAAAGTTTTGTGTTCGTAATGGTCACGTAATATTCAGTGTATGTGACACTTAAATCTGATGCTTTTGTGATGCGGGTGCACCCTACTTTAAGTAGCACGAAGCTGTTACAGTCATGATTAGGCCAGAGACATTATATTTACTAAAAAGATAATGAATTTGAATTTGAGCTGATATTATATGCTGATAAAAATGAGTTGCCTTGTTCGCACATCAGTGACTGATATCATGCTGTGTGTTACTGTTACAGATGTACCACGAATACTTATTTCGAAACCACATGCTTAATGACAGCATCCTACTCAGTTTCCATGATAACTATAAGGTACATTAGTGATGAAACAGCCATAGCTATGTTTTTCGCCTTTATTGTAAAGGAATTATTGTATGTCATTCCATATTACTGGTTAAGTACTGTCTTTAATATTCTTTGGATAAGAATAATTTGGACTTTTTAAGTAAGAGTAGGCCTAAAAATTATAATTACAAAAATGGGCAAGTGATATACTCCTTATGATTGATGTTACATTTGTGATAATTTGTTTATTAAGGATACACTGGAGCTTTTGCACAAGTATTGCTCTAATGGAGAGTAATGACTATTGAATCGATTTTATTTATAGATTAGATGTATCTCTATGCTCAAGCCTAAATATTTCATGAAATTTTCTGCACCTAATTATGTGACAACACAAATTTTGAATTTTTATGTAAAATGGTATTTGGGATATTTCTCAATTACCAGAAATTGAAAATTTGAAATGTTAAAATGATATTCTGTATTAATTTAAACCTTAGTTCACTAGTTTGAATGGCACCTGTCCCTTGTAGGTATATGAAACTGATAAAAACACAATAGGAAGAGGTAACCTCCCTGCCGTTATGTTTCTGGGAAGCGGCATCACGTACAACTTTACCATAGAGATCATAGTTGCTCCCATCCATGCCATTCGTAGGTGTCAGAAGGTTCGATTTATACTGTCTGTTAGATGATTTGGTTATAATATTTTTCAAGTGCTATTACGTGTTGTTTTAGTGATTATTTATTGTAAAAGTATAATCTCTCACTTGGGACATGCAGATTTCTCATGCAACCAGTGTATATAATTACTAGTGGTGTATGCATGCACAAGCAGTCTACAGTTCTAGCTATACAGTCAGTTTTAACATTTAAAAATAAATATAAAGTAACGAAAATATAGAGAAATAACACTAATTCAATAAGTAAGTATTTGATTACTTTAAACTCTAAATTCTCAATGCCAGTATTTACATTCACTGTGTTCTTTTTTTGCAATCCTACGTTTTATCATGCCAACTTTGACCTGTCTCGTTAAGAATGCTGTTGTCTTTTTGCAATATAATTATAAATTTAATAAGCAAGTCTCTGCAGGTACAAGCCCAGACATGCAAACTCCCATGCAGATGGTGAGTGCCATGTTTATTGTGTCAGATACTAGCCTACTGGAAGTAAGCGCCACTCGTGAGGACCTCTATGTCAGACTTGCAGTCCTGTATCGGGTGAGAACATGTATCCAAGTCATTATTTCTGCGTGAATCAGAGAGGGATTAAAAATTAAATAATTAATAAATGAACCATTACCAAAATATAAGGCATTGACTTCCTATTGAGATATTCTACCAATAAATATCTCTATAATTCTAATATCATCTATTATGTCTTAGCAGATAAGAAATTTATAAATAAATCAATTTTGTACAGTGAATCACCAGGTATATATGAATAGCAGGTTTTGTAGATGCAACTAGCAGAAGTGATACTGCATCATTGTCTTTCTAACATTTCTGAGTATATGTTTTTCCTCGGCAGGTGAGCATTAGAGACAAGGGTCTACGTCGGAGTCAGGCTCTGCCAGGCAGTGAACTGCACCCAGTGTCTCTGCGTATACAAGTGTCAAACTCTGTTGGATGCTGTTTTACTTCCAGTCAGGATGAACGCTTATTCATGGTACGTCATCCACCTCAACATTGCTTTACAGTTGGTGTATCATGTCAGTGACATTGTCCTGCATTTGAAAATGCGACGGTTCGATCAGTATAGCTTACTCTATCTCTCCCACTCGCTCTTTCTCTCTACCCCTATCTCTCCTTTTCTCCATCCCACTCCCTCCCTAACTCAACGCTCCCTCTGGATGTTTGAACCAAGACTTGAGCCACAAAAGTTATTTTTAGCCACCAATGAAAAACTACATAGCCACTGTTCACTTTATCGTATGTGCTAAGCAAGGCATAAACAGGTGATGGGTATGCGAAAAGAGGTGTACGAAAACATTTTATGACACAACATGGCAATTAGTCGATTTCATTAGTCGATCATAATTTTCTGAGCAGTTGAATCATTTTCCAATTGTATTCGCCACTTAGTGTAGTGAAATCGCCACTGTTATTTATTTATCACATTTTGCAAAGATGGCGAACGCCAGCAGTAGCCCTGCTAACTTCCTTCCTTTCTCTTCTTCTCTCTCTCTCTCTCTCTCTCTCTCTCTCTCTCTCTGTGTGTTTCATGTGTCAATATCACAATCTCCCAGTCTGTCTGTACCTGTATTCTTTTCTCTCGCAGGTTATTCTTACTTCTTGAAGTTATATTTTAGGGAATGCAGCATACCACCGTCATGCTGGGTTGCCCACCAGGGCAGAAGCTAATGTTTGATGTGGATGCATCATTGGCTGTTACGAAGCCTTACGACTGTCTTGTTCCAATAGAGAATATGCCTTGCTTTTATTATGCTGAAGGTACAAACCAACTGTTAAATTTGTGTCTTTGCGTGCGTGCATGTGTGTGCGCATGCGTGCGTGCGTGTGTGCGCGGATATATATACCTTGTAATTGCAATGCCGTGGGTGCAAAACGCTCCCACAACTGACTGAACTTGGAAATAGATCCATTTATTCAATATGTATGTGTTATTTATTATTATATATGCATATACTGCCTTTTGGTTAAATTTTAAGTGTTTTTTTCGTTGTGTGTGCGTTGCACATAAAGAAAATCATAAATAATAAGTTAATACATACATACCTGCTAACCCCCAAAAAGTTCAAAATAAGCACCCAATCATGGACAAAACAAATTTGAGGATCTCATTAGTATGTACTTTGCTGTGAGGAGTTATTGGAAATTGTGACAAAGAAAGATGGTGCCAAACTTACATTTATTCTATTCATGCAGGTTTCTATCCTCGCTTTGTTATCATGGATCGTATCCAAAGGACATATCACAATTTCACTGGCTCTTACATACTGACTGTCGTTGGCGGAGGCTCTGGTGGAGAGAGTAATGTGAGGCTTTACACAGATGAGGAAATTCAGACATATAACAATCAGGACAGTAGTGATGCCACTCTCATCTGGGGGCCATTAGCAGAGGATATGGACCGTGCTGTGCCAGTGTTCAACCAGAAAAGCAATGGTATCAGGTGCGACTTGGTATCTCTACATCTCTTTTCTTTCCTCCTAATTCTAAATACATCTAAACTATGGTTTAGCTACACTTTGGATATCCTCCACTAAATTAACGGATTCATGGTAGGTCTCACTATAGCAAGGATCGCTATTTAGCGGGATTGTTCAGCGAACAGAGCTGTGTGACATGCTCACGCTGGAATTTTAGCCCTCCTACCAATTTCCTCTGCTATTTAGTGGTGAACTTTTGGTAATAGTCATAAACTTTTGGTGAATGGAGCTTTGTAAAACGTGGCCCTATCTGTGTCTATGTGCTCTAACATTTATTCTATGCTTGCTTCATGACTCCCACTCATGGTTTTCCATAGGTTAGACACCTCAGGTAATGCACATTTAATGCATTTATAATTCAGCAGTTCACTAGTGCATAAAACAATACTATGGAATAACAATTGTGAGATTATTATGTGGATGTCTTAGTATCTAAGACTAATGTCTTCTTTGCAGTTGGTTGTGTCAGAAAAAATCACCTTGTGCCAACATTGCACCGAAGTTTCCGGCATCCCCAGAATACTTCTTTCTTATCAATGTCACAAATAGGTAAGTCCAATTAATTAGTATGACTGTTTTAAGAGCCAGCTAATCATGATGTAGATTATTGTTGATATTACTGCAATTGTAAGTAATGCAATCGTTTATGCAAATTATTGCACCTACGTGGCAGTACAGCCAGGTTGCTGCTTCGTCAAGAAAGCTTTATCTGTTTCAGAGATGTGGACATTAATTCAACCAACTGCATCTACACAACTCAGTTTCTGATTCGTATTCACGGATTGCCAATGGATAGTATTAAGGGCTCACTGTTCATCACCTGTGTAAGTCGTGCTGTACTCTTACTTTGCAGACGATGTTGTTATGAGAGTACACTCCACGCGATATTTTCCTTTTCATTCTGCATCTTGTAGTTTAATATAATAGTTTGCTCTGAATTTATTGATAAACTATGCCGGTTTAATAATAGATGGAAATGAATGTACATGACATTGTATTTTGGCAATTTTGCCTATGCAAGCCTTGTGTTGTTTCAGTTCACCATATTCCTCATCTGCCTGTTTATAGTCATCTATGGTATTTGCAAACGAAATGATGAAAAGATATACAAGCGTTTCAAAGATTCTGTATATGATCGCATATACATGAAGTTAAAGCCAGTTAAGAAACTCAACAGCACTGGTATGTGTTCTGGACTTTTGCAATTTATCTAGATCTGTCATTTCACATATCGTAGATCAACAAGCATACTTAAATGATAACTGCCACATATAGGTATATATCAGCTAACCTGCTCTTGATACTAATCGTGCGTACACCAGTGCTGCTGGTATGTATGTTCTGCTTCAGTACGCTTAAGGAAACTACAGCTTTTCATACTTGTTTGTTTTATAGAGATAGCAGTTCAGGTTTTAAAGAAGCAGGCGGCAGCAGCTCGGCAGCAAAGGTTTATGATACAGCAGCAGGGTAAGTATGTTATCAGTCCCCCCTTATTAAGGGTGTCTTTCACTGACCTGGACGGCTGGTTGTATTGCTGGGCTGTGGGTGGTGTGATGCCTCACTGTCCTATACATGAATTGGCATCTGGCTCTGTGCTGTACGTGTGGTGCTATCTGGCATGGATTTATAAGTGTCTCATTCTTTTGTATGTGTTGTGGTGTCTATCAATGTCCTGTAAGTGTTACAGTGTCTGTCACTATAACCTGTGTGTGTGGTGATATCTATAAGTATCGGTTACTTGTGGAATTGTGTATTGATGTCCTGTGCGTGCGCTGGTGTTTGTCTCTGGCCTATACGGGTGGTTCTGTTTTTTTCTGGTTGCGTCTGTTGCTGTCATGTATGTGCGGTGGTGTCTGCCACTGACCGAATACGGTTGGAGGTGTCACTAAGTATTCCTACGCATAGAGCTGACAATTGATAGTGAGTTTGTGTTCCTGGGGCCCGTTGTCAGAAACAAAATTAGTCTTAACATTAGTCTTAACATTAACTTTTTCTCTTAGACCGTCGACAGAAACGCTGCGAAGTTACCTGAATGAAAAATCGTAGCAGATATCCTGATAACAATACGAAACAAAGCGCTGTCGACGGTCTACGAGAAAATTTTATTGTTAAGACTAATGTTAAGACAAATTTTGTTTCTGACAACGGGCTCCTGGTCTACAGTCACTTATATAGTATTTTTGTCTGGGATCTTGCTCATTTCTGTATTATTATAGAGTAATTAATGTTTCCCAAACAGATTTTAATCAGAAACATACTTTGAGATTCAACTACCAGATAAAACTATATAGGACATGCAGCTGTCAGAAGATCGCATGTAATGATTATGTATACCGTATTGACAGTGGGAACATTCCAGTAGCAATTGTTAATCTCGGAGGGGTTCAGGGATTCACAACTGTGGAGTGATAGATCAGCGTTGGTTATGTGTTGTGCTGCCTTTCCTCTTCATTTCGTTATTTTTCATGCAGGTCAGTGGAGCTGGACGAAAGCAATGCCTGAGTTAGGAGAACTGGATGAAATGTCAGAGAGTGAGAACGAGGGAAGCTCTGATTCCTCTGGTATTATACTGCCAGCATCCACTGTTAACCCAACAGAATCATCAGACGCTGTACTTCCTGCCGTTGATCTCCCCAAACAGTAACAGTCTGCCCGTTGATATACCCTCTCACTGGTGAATTCTGGTGTATAAGAATGTTTAGGATTGGAGGTTGGTCAGTCCTTGGTGGTAGTTAGACTACCTGCAGTATAACTGGATCTTCATAGGAAATTCTTGCCTCGTGCCATTGTGAAGACAGAAGACATTGCTGATGAAGGGTTAAAATTGCACAATATTGCCATGTTCATTGTTCGTGTTTAGAGGCAATCCGTTGTAACCAGCAAATGAATTTCTTAAGCTTATTGAAATACAAATCTCAGGAATTTTCATAATTCTGTATTATGTTGCTATGTTATATTGCAGTGGCTTTCATGCTACATTGTTATAGTTTGCAAAACTGTTTTTATGTGCAAAAATGGTACAATTCTGTTGGTGCTTACCTAATATTGAATTAATAAATAAATCTTTATAGATACTAATTAGGTTTTGGAGCACTATGCATTGACGGAATACTTATTGATGGCAAATAAAGAGTTAAAATAAAAACCATTTACAATTCTTACGGGTGAGTACAAGTTTGTAACAAGACTATTTATGTTTGTAGTTTTAAGTTTTGTTCTTTCTACACATCGGAAAGGAAACCTTTTCCTGGTGAGTTGGCAGTGGCCCTGCTATATCAGCAGTGCTAGGTAGGATAGGGAGAAGCAATAGTACAAGACCAATAGACAATGACCAGGAAGGTGAACATGTAGATGACGTTCACACGCATCGCCCATTACTGTGTGGCTATAATGTTTCGCAAACGTTCTGTTGCCTTTTCGAACGGTTTCCTAATGACAATCACATCATCGGGGCATGCACATGCGAAACACCCTGGCCTAATACAGCTCTCGTAGGACGAGCTCCATAAGGCTCTCAAACGTTGAAAAGGTACTCACCACATTAAAATTATGCCCTACGTGCGATCCTGCGCCGACCCAACTGCTGGTAATGCAACAAGGTTGCAGATTGCAGGCAATTAAATGTAATTGGGGCTACTCGATTATGCAAAACACGACATGAGTATTATTTGCTGGCTGCTGGGAGTATAAATGCCCCTAGCTTTCCCGGTCGGATATGTTTCTATGACAACTCTTCCCGAAATAAAGGGACAGCTTCCTAGCTACTAGAGCAATGAGGCCCTATGCAATGTCAAAGTCCGCTGCATCTGGCATCGTCATAATCATACTCTATAAAAAAAATATAAATATCAGAACCTGCTACATGTGTTATTGTAATGATCAGACAGTATGCTATATCATTGCCTGCTGCATGTGTTATATTGTCATGATAGACAGTATGCTATATCAGTGTCTGCTCATGTGTTATATTGTCATGATGGACAGTATGCTATATCATTGCCTGCTGCATGTGTTATATTGTCATGATGGACAGTATGCTATATCAATGCCTGCTGCATGTGTTATATTGTCATGATGGACAGTATGCTATATCAGTGTCTGCTCATGTGTTATATTGTCATGATAGACAGTATGCTATATCAATGTCTGCTGCATGTGTTATATTGCCATGATGGACAGTATGCTATATCAATGTCTGCTCATGTGTTATATTGTCATGATAGACAGTATGCTATATCAATGTCTGCTGCATGTGTTATATTGTCATGATGGACAGTATGCTATATCAATGTCTGCTGCATGTGTTATATTGTCATGATGGACAGTATGCTATATCAATGTCTGCTGCATGTGTTATATTGTCATGATAGACAGTATGCGA